AGAGAGCACTCATGGATTAGAGACTGAAAATGAGGCAGAGATGCATGCAGCACAGGAAGACAATATATGGAGAATCATCTAGGGGGAAATATATTGACAGACAATTATAATTTTATATTGGGTTTGGTTTATTTTACAATGTATTGGCGCTCTACCCTTGTTTTGATGAATTCGTGAAGATAGAGAAACAAGAATGGCGGGGGCAAGATGGAATGTGAAATTGAGAGATGAGATGACCGGCGGTGGGTTACATTTGAGATAAAAATAGAGTGAAGATCAGGGGAGAGTAAGTGAGGTGGTGTTGTAGCATTTTGTGAGGAGGATACAATCAATTAAAAATTTAGCTATATACCTACAAACTTATAAGGAATTACTCAAACATTTGTATCTTGAAGAATCTATTTAGTCGACATACATTGCCACAGTAAGAAGGCATAGATGGGAGAAGAGAGTATTGGCAGCTGCAAATTTTTAGAGCGACGATTGTGGCAGCACCTGTGTAATATTTTTTAATAATGAACTAGAAACACTAAATTTAGTAGCCTTGGCCTACTTTTCTCAAGAATGAAATGGACCCACTGTAAATTAAGTGTGGCTCCACTTTTTTGTTCATCCGAATTTCCAAATTAAATGACACGATCAGTTAAAACTTCCTAGTGATTTCACTTGTCGCCCTCGATTCAAAGGCTCATTAGTACTCCATGGTCAATCTATGTATACATTGCTTGCCAGTAGGAGACAAAAGACCAGCCTTGTTCCTTCAATTCTGTCAAGTTTTGAAAAGTTTTATCTCACCAACTCTCTATTGTTACTATAAAGCCTAGCCGAAAGCTTTTGAGTCAAGTAAGCAGGAAGTGTTTCTATTTGTCAAAGGTTTTACCAACGTGTGTATTTATTAGGTTATATAATCCCATTATTATTATTATTATTATTATTATTATTATTATTATTTCTTCAAATAGATGTTGCTATTTGAAGGATAATTGGAGAGTGTCTGGTGGTTTTGTTGGGGTTGTGTTGGGACTTGGAAAGGATTTTTGCAGGGGTGGGGGTGGTTTTGCCCTCTGCTTGGACTATGTTTGCGGCAGGGCGCCTTTGCCTCTGCCAATCTAGTTATGCTCCTAACAGGCCAATTTGTTAGGAGATACTAACAGAGTAGGATAGATGGCCACGTCGCCAAGCCGCCATCCATCGGTGGAGGAGAAAACGCGCCATCCCATGTGAGGGATGAGAGCCGATTCCATCGGCTAGGCCAAGCCCACTCCGGCTTGCGGGGCCCGCCGGGCCCACTAATTCAAAAACCCAAAATAAAATACCCTAAACCCTACCCTTTTCACGTTCTTCCCCAAATCACTTTCCGCCCCCCCCCCTTTCTCCCCCCCTTTCTCTCTCCCTTTCCTCTCCCTTTCTTCCTCTCCCGAACGCAGACGAAGCGCTGCGCGGTGTAGCGAACTCGGCGGCAGCAAAGTCTGGCGGCGGTGACGATCTAGGCGGCGGCGGCGACCTTGCAGCGAAGGCGGAGATCTCGGCGGCGACCTTGCTGCGAAGTCGGAGATCTCGGCGGCCGTTAACGAAAGAACAACTTCATTAACCGAGGTAGTCGAGGTTTTTTTTTTCCTTTTGGTCATGGATACTCATGTTCGTTTTCATAGCTTCGACTAGATCTGGGTTTTCCTTTTCCTACGTTTTTTCTGGATGAGTTTGATGGATTTGTTTTCTTGTAACTTAGATTTGACTAGATCTGGGTTGCTTTTTTTATTTATTTTGTTGATATGTTTTCTGGGTTTGTGGATTTGATTGGATCTGGGTTTGGGTTGCTGGGTTTGTGGATTTGACTGGATCTGGGTTTCTTTGTTTTCTGGGTTTTGTGGATATGTTTTGTGTGTGTTTCGATATTTGTTATGTTCGGGCAGGATATCAGTTTTCAATTGTTTGGATAGTTGTGTGGTTGAGATCTGGGATTCGAATTGTAGATCCAAAACATTAGTTCCTTTCATAGTGGATAACAATTAGCATGCTTGTGGGTATGTTTTGTGGGTTTGTGGATTTGATTGGATATGGGTTTGAGTTCCTGAGGTTTGTGGATTTTGTGGATTTGACTGGATCTGGGTTTCATTGTTTTTTGGGTTTTGTGGATATGTTTTATGTGCGTTCCGATATTAGTTCTGTTCAGCCAAGATATCAGTTTTCAATTGTCTGGATAGTTGTGTGGTTGGGATATAGGATTCGATTTGTAGATCTGAAACATTAGTTCCTTTCATAGTGGATAACAATTAGCATGCTTGAGATACTACTTTTTTATGATGTGGATATTGTTCTGTAATTGATTGTTCAGATATTAGTTATGTGATGTCTGGATATTTATTTACTTCGTCTTGATATTTCTCTGCCTTATATGAATGCTAGTTCACTTATATTAGTTCTGTGCAGTTGAGATATCTGTTATATCATGTTTGGATATTTGTTCGTTGTATCTGGATATTACTTCTATAATATCCAAATATTGAAAATATTATGTCTGGATATTTGTACTCCATGTTTGGATATTTTTTCTCCATGTTTGGATATTTGTTTGCTCTTTATTGTATGGATTATAGTTACCTTATATTAGTTCTGTGTGGTCAGGATATCAGTTGATTTATACGTGAATATTTATATATGCTTCAGGGATATTGGACAATGGCAAGAACAAAAACAACAACGAAGAGACCGTAAGAGAAGGATCATCCCAACCTCGTCGTGGCATGATCGAAACGTGGGGGGCTCGGAGGGACATGAGAAAGAAGATAATCGAGAATTTGCACAAGCAAGACAACATTTGAACTATTCCTTTTTCGTTTTTTATGTAGTTATACTTTTTTAGATTTTAGATTATGGGATTGCCAAGTTGGAATGACAATAAATACTAGTTGTATCGCAGTTTATCGAAAAACGACTTTGTTTTATTATGAATTTGCTTAAACTAAATATCAACACAAACAAACATAGATAAACATCCACAAAAAAACAAATGCAAACCACCCAAAATAATATCCGTTCACCATAAACAAAATCCAGAACACCCAGACTAATATCCCACCGCCTAATACAAATATCGAGTCAGCCCGTAATCAATATCTTCACCATACAGACTAATACCCACCACACACAGATTAATATATGGATGTCTTAGACTAATATCCGGCTACACAGCAAAAATATCAACACATCATGAACTAATATCCTCCAATCACATAATAATATCTTATCACCACACAGTAAAATTGATCACCCTACATTGTGTTCAAAATCATTTCCACAGTATTGTCTTCTAAACCCGAAACCAAAACTCAAACCCTATACCTGAAACCCTAATCGTAGACACTAAACACAAAGATTGAACCCTTAACTCTAAACCTCAACCCCAAAGTCAAATCCTAAATCATAAATTCCAAACCCTAATTCTAAACCCTAAAGTCTAAACCCTAACACTAAACTCTAAATTGATGTAATCATATACAAATCAGTAGATAAACATCCACACAGAACAAATATCCAAACTACCCAGACTATTATCTGACCGTAGCAAACTAATACCCACCACACACATATTAATATCTGTCCATCACATACTAATACCCACCACACACAGATTAATATCTGACCATCGCAGACTAATACCAACTACACATAAACTCTAAACCCTAATCGCTAAACACTAAATCCTTAACCCTAAATCCTAACCGCTAAACCGTAAATTGGTGTAATATGGTTGGTGATAATCGGCTTTAACATATTGAATTTTTGGACTTTATGTGATTATCCATGATATGTTTAAGCCGATTGGTGTTATTTTAGGGCTCGCTAAACCGTGAATGGTTGAAAAACCATTACTGCCTAGTGCTATGAGTTTGATATGTTACAGGTGGAGAAAGCACGAAAAAGAAGCGAGTGCACAAACAATTAATTGGGCCCAAATCACTTTGTCTCGGGCAGAATTAATTTGGGCCGGGGATCTCCTATTGGGCTCGCGGACGGAATTATATTGCAGGAGGATTGGATTGGGATACGAAGAAATGGGCCAAAGCCCATTCGCCTCCTCTCCTTGTGTTGGGCGGATTGAGCAGGGGTTTTGGGCGGAAGAGACAGAATTGGGCCAGGGGAACTAATTGTGGGGGACGTTTTGGACAGGGAGTTTTGGGGCGGACTTTTGTTTTCTTTGGCGAGGATGGCTTTGGGGCGGGCTTTCGGATTGGGAGAGAGCAGCAGCGAATTGGCGGAACGAATTAGGGGGAGAGAGCGACAACATCGCAGTGACGGGAGGAGCTTGGCACGAGCTGATCGCGGGCATAATTCAAAATCAGTATTTTCCTTCGCTCCTGATTAGTTGGATGATGAATATGAACATGATTATGTGTTTTATTTTTGCCATGAACTAAACCCCAATTTCTGGGGGAAACACCATAGGATGTAGCTATTTCTTGATTTGATGGATTGATTTATGATTCTTTTCTTCCAATCTCTATTGCATGAAATTGCTTAATGCTTTGTGTTGACTGGCCACCAATACATCGATTTGTAGTTAATTAGGTTATTAGCGACAGTGAAACCCTAATAACTGAACCTATTTCATGTGACATAGTAACTTATCGAAGCGACAGTGGATTAAATAAGGTGCTATGCGGTCTTAAATAGGATATCGATCTTCAGGCTAAATAATTAGGTCATTGAGCTACGACAGTAGGATTTGATTTAATTGTTTAGTACGTAGTAATTCCCGACAGGGATAGCTAGCACATTCGTGATATCCTGGCTGTAGAGAGTTGGATTAAATTGATTGGAGTATGTGAATTAATCTGGATAGGTTAGGTAGTGAATCCCGGTGTTTCTCCCAGAGCTTTCTCCCATTGATTTTCTCCCGACAGTTTTCATTTAGTTAATTTGTTTATTTTATTTTGCTAGTAGTTAATAATCTCATTAAACCATTTTCACCTATAGTTTGCTCTATTAAATCGGTAAATCTTAAGGTTGTACCAGTCCCTGAGAGACGATACCCGGACTTTCCGGTTTTACTACAAGATAGGAATTGAAGCTATACGCTTTTGACCTATCAAGTTTTTGGCGCCGTTGCCGGGGACTGCCATACCTTATTTTTGTTGATTTTTGTGAGTGAACTGTTTTGATCTGGGTGTTAGTGTGCAGGTGAATTTTTCAGGTTAATCCTCCTCGTGCATGCCAAGGAGGACGACTGGCAATTTACTGCCACTAGATCCCGAGAACGAGAGGACCTGCCGACAAAACAGGAAACATGTCAAGTTAGGGAAGCAGCCTACCCCATCCACAACTCCTAGGCCTTCCCTAACTCAGAATCGTCAACCGAGAAGGCAGGTGCCACCACCTGTCATCCCTACACCACCTACACCACCGCCGCGCGTCATAGAGCCTGTCATCATGGCTGAACAGGATCGTTCGATCAGGGCTCGTCTGAATCGGAGGACTGGAGCCCGAGCTTCATGTGTTGTCATTCCGGCTGGGGATGCAAACATGGAGATTGCCCCAGCCTTCATCAATATGATCACGAATGGGTACACCTTCTCCGGGGGAAGTACCGAGGATCCTCATGAACATCTCCGCCGGTTTGCAAACATTTGTGACACAATGAAGAGCCCGACTGTGTCTGATGATGCCATCCGTCTTCGGATGTTCTCATTTTCTCTGCTAGGGAATGCATCACACTGGTTCCAGAACTTGACACCCCGTTCCATCACAACATGGGGTCAGCTTGAGAAGACCTTTTTGGATAAGTACTTTCCTCCTGCCAAGGCAATGAAGAGGCAAGAGGAAATTGTCACTTTTAAACAAGCTGAGGATGAAAGTCTGACCGAGGCATGGGAGCGCTATAAGGAGCTTCTAATGAGATGCCCGAGCCACGGTCTTGAAGATTGGAATGTGATCTCCATCTTCTTCAACGGAATCAGAAGACAATTTCGAGATGCTCTGAATAATGCTTCCCGAAATGGTTTCACAAGAATGGAAGCACCAGAAGCATATGAACTGTTGGAGAAGATATGCTCTGAAGATACTGAATGGGGTAGTGAGACCGGCATTCGAAGGAGAGGAGGCTTGCATGAGATAGACAGAGTTGCAAGTTTAGAAGCAAAGATTGATGCTAAGCTGGATTCCAAGTTCGATGCACTCGAACGAAGGCTGGCTAAGATGGCTCTTGGTAGACAGGAGGAGGTTGCTTTGTGCGAATTATGTGAAGGTGCTCATCATAGGGATCTATGTCCACTGGTAGCTGATCAGTTGGAAGATGTGCACTATATCAACAATCAGCAAAATCAAGGCCAGGGTGGTATGTATTCAAATACCTACAACCCGCAATGGAGAAAGCATCCTAACTTTTCCTGGGCGAACAACAACCCAACTGGTGTTCGAAACATCCCACCTCCTGGTTTTCAACACCAGCAGCCTCAACTAGAGAAAAAGCCCCAGTTGGAGGAGTTGATTTTGGCTCATATGCAGAAAACAGACAATAATTTCAAGGGCCTGGATCAATTTGTCACTCAACAGCTAGCCATCAACAATAATTTACAATCTTCTATGCTAGCTATGGAGAGGCAGATGGGACAGATGGCTCAAACTTTGGCAGATATGCAAGGCAGGATTCCTGGGACTTTACCAGCAAATACTGAGAGGAATCCGAAGGATGCCATGGTTGTAGCAGTGACATTGAGGAGTGGAAAGGCCTTGGAAGACCCTAGCAGCTCGAAAAAGGCACCAGAGGCAGAAGAGGAAGCACCGGAAGAAAGATCTTGTGCAGAAAATGAAGAATCAGCCTTGCACAGGCAAAATGAAAGCGGTTTGCCTGTGCAAAAGCATGCTGCCCGTGTACCTCAAAAAGTGGAAAAATTAAAGAATGAAGAGGTAAAACCTTATGAACCTCCCGCACCATTCCCTCAAAGGTTAATGAAGCCCATGGAAGACCCAAACTTCAAGAAATTTGTGAATATCTTCAAGCAACTTCATATTAACATACCCTTGGCGGAGGCACTTGAACAAATGCCTACATATTCTAAATTCTTAAGGGAGTTGCTGACAAAGAAGCGGAAATGGGCTGATCTAGAGAAGGTAACCCTTACTTCTAAATGTAGTGCTGTGATTCAGAATAAATTACCAGAAAAGAGGGATGATCCGGGCAGCTTCACCATTCCATGTGTCATTGGAGGTACAGAATTCGATAAATCACTTTGTGATCTTGGAGCAGGAATTAATTTGATGCCATACTCAGTCTACAAGAAATTGGGATTGGGAGATGTTCTTAAGCCTACTCGGATCACACTCCAATTGGCTGATCGATCAGTAAAAATTCCAAAGGGAGTGGTGGAGAATGTATTGGTGAAGGTGGGAAAGTTTATTCTCCCAACAGATTTTGTCATTTTGGAGATGGAAGAAGATCGGGGAGTGCCTCTCATTCTCGGCAGACCTTTTCTAGCAACCGGTGATGCACTCATCGATGTTGGGAGAGGCAAGTTGACATTCCGAGTAGGTAAGGAGGAGGAAATTTTTAATGTCTTTCAAGTTGACCATAATCATGATGAATTTGAAAGTGGAGCTCGAGAAAGGAAAAATCCCTTTTCCTGTGATAGTGGACCATCCGAAGAACTATCACCTATCCTATCTGCTCAGATTCTGAAGTCAAAGCAAGGGCAGAAATCCTTGCCAGGTCACCTCAAGTATAGATATTTGGGTAAGGATTTCAATCTTCCTGTTATTATTCCTTCTTCACTGACATTGAAACAGGAAGAGTACCTGCTTGAGGCGCTGCAGTACCACCTACGCCTAACTAAAGGGTCTAACATGCCAGCTAAGAAGGTCGTACCCAATTTTCGCACACCTGGCCCTGCAGAGGTGACTCATATGTTGGATGGAGGTTATGCGTTTTATCATTGCTCGGGAGGGTATGCTGGATACCTTTCCATACCCATTGGTTGAAAGCTCCATGAACGTCAGGCTGAGGACGTTAAACAAGCGCTTCTTGGGAGGCAACCCAAGGTAAGTTTTCTTTTCTTTATTTTTCTTTTTTGTTGTGTCAAACCCGTGCATGTTTAGATTAGGAGTTGAACATTAGGGACAATGTTCCATCCTGAGTGTGGGGTGATGAGTCTTAGTGTTGTTTGTCCCTGTTGCATGTGGTAAAAAAAATTCAAAAAAAAAAAATTTGTTTGTTCCTTTTGTCATGTGGTCGGTAAAAAAATTCCAAAAAAACAAAAAAAAACAAAAAAATTGCCATTAGGTTGAGCACAGCCAAACTGCATGCAGTTTGCCTGTGTAAAAAGCAGTCTGCCTGTGTAAAAAGCATGCTGCCTGTGCAAAGCTAATGGCTAAAAAACACCTAAAAATCAGAAAAATTTAAAACAAAACCTTGTACTCTTGTGGTAACATGATGTAAATGACCGTGATGCCTTGAAAATGAGTTTATGCTTGAATGAAATCATCGAAATCACCCCACTAGTGTTGAATTGCATAGTTCTTCACAATGAGCTTGAATGTTTTGACTGACTTGATGTGCTTTGAATGAGCAACTCTTTTAGCAACATTCTCTTTTGTGAGGATAGTGTAACGACTTTTGGTGAAGTAGTTAGGTGGAGAACATTGACCATTCGATATGTTTGGATACCGTGCTTACTTGAATCAATTGTGAGCTTTTGATTTTGCAATGAGTCTCTCTGTTTTGAATGTTTTATGATGGGGTGAACTGTATCTTTATAAAAGAAAACACTACCTGACAAGTAAAATATAAGAAAGTTGCCATAACAATTAAAGTGTGGGTAAAAATGCCAAAATCGTGTGGGGCAATCACTCATTGCACATGGGGATGAGGAAAGATTCAATTGAGAATCGGTTCGCGACCGTACGATGTTGCTTATCAAGTACGATCCTCGTTGAGTGAAGTGCCATTTGAGGATGCAATGACCCTCCACACGGACCGAGGATAAGGAGTTAAAAGAAGCCCTTATGCGAGTGCTAAGAAGCAGAAATTGCTCTTGCTCGGTCACCGGTAGTAAGAAACAAATCCCACTTGTACTAAATACGACTTCTCGGCAAGCAAAAGCAGAAAGAGAGAAAGCCTCTCCTTGTCATAAAAGGTAGTGATGTGCTTAAAGTAAAATCATGTTTGTGAAAGGCTTCCCCCATTAGTTTTTGAGACTCATGCTTAATTAATTGCTTATGATTGGTGTGAGTAAGCCAGATTGTCCTCACGAGATATGCACCTCACTGATGTGGTTAGATTCTCCTAATAACTGTTGCACCATAAGTTGTTAATCACCCGCTACTGACGACCTAAATTGAGTGTTGCTATTTGAGTTTTTGATGGATTTGAGTCAGTCAATGGTAATGGTTGCAAAGAACTTGAGTGTGGGGTGAAAGGTATGACCATTAAAGCACAACTTGTCCGTTGAGAAAGAAACTACTGATTACAACAAGAGTACAAGAAAATTTTGTGTTTTGTTTTGAGTGTTTGAGTGTTGAGTCTGTGGTGTGTCATTGTTTTAGATGGTTATGTGTTTGTGTTTTTTGAGTCGTTGCTTAGGGACAAGCAACAATTGAGTGTGGGGTTGTGATAATCGGCTTTAACATATTGAATTTTTGGACTTTATGTGATTATCCATGATATGTTTAAGCCGATTGGTGTTATTTTAGGGCTCGCTAAACCGTGAATGGTTGAAAAACCATTACTGCCTAGTGCTATGAGTTTGATATGTTACAGGTGGAGAAAGCATGAAAAAGAAGCGAGTGCACAAACAATTAATTGGGCCCAAATCACTTTGTCTCGGGCAGAATTAATTTGGGCCGGGGATCTCCTATTGGGCTCGCGGACGGAATTATATTGCAGGAGGATTGGATTGGGATACGAAGAAATGGGCCAAAGCCCATTCGCCTCCTCTCCTTGTGTTGGGCGGATTGAGCAGGGGTTTTGGGCGGAAGAGACAGAATTGGGCCAGGGGAACTAATTGTGGGGGACGTTTTGGACAGGGAGTTTTGGGGCGGACTTTTGTTTTCTTTGGCGAGAAGGGCTTTGGGGCGGGCTTTCGGATTGGGAGAGAGCAGCAGCGAATTGGCGGAACGAATTAGGGGGAGAGAGCGACAGCATCGCAGTGACGGGAGGAGCTTGGCACGAGCTGATCGCGGGCATAATTCAAAATCAGTATTTTCCTTCGCTCCTGATTAGTTGGATGATGAATATGAACATGATTGTGTGTTTTATTTTCGCCATGAACTAAACCCCAATTTCTGGGGGAAACACCATAGGATGTAGCTATTTCTTGATTTGATGGATTGATTTATGATTCTTTTCTTCCAATCTCTATTGCATAAAATTGCTTAATGCTTTGTGTTGACTGGCCACCAATACATCGATTTGTAGTTAATTAGGTTATTAGCGACAGTGAAACCCTAATAACTGAACCTATTTCATGTGACATAGTAACTTATCGAAGCGACAGTGGATTAAATAGGGTGCTATGCGGTCTTAAATAGGATATCGATCTTCAGGCTAAATAATTAGGTCATTGAGCTACGACAGTAGGATTTGATTTAATTGTTTAGTACGTAGTAATTCCCGACAGGGATAGCTAGCACATTCGTGATATCCTGGCTGTAGAGAGTTGGATTAAATTGATTGGAGTATGTGAATTAATCTGGATAGGTTAGGTAGTGAATCCCGGTGTTTCTCCCAGAGCTTTCTCCCATTGATTTTCTCCCGACAGTTTTCATTTAGTTAATTTGTTTATTTTATTTTGCTAGTAGTTAATAATCTCATTAAACCATTTTCACCTATAGTTTGCTCTATTAAATCGGTAAATCTTAAGGTTGTACCAGTCCCTGAGAGACGATACCCGGACTTTCCGGTTTTACTACAAGATAGGAATTGAAGCTATACGCTTTTGACCTATCAGTTGGCTAAGTGTTTGATGCTAGATGCTTAAATAAACAAAGGATAACATCTGAATAGTTACCAAAAGTGCCCCAATATCCGTACTACATATAAAAATATCCACATCACCCAGACTAATATTCATTCCTACCATAAAAAATATCCGCACCACCCAGACTAATATTCGTTTCTCCCATAATAAATATCCTTACCAACCCTAACTAATATCCATCGATTACAAACTAATATCCTGCTACACAGCCAAAATATCCACACATCGCCAACTAATATCCTCCGATCACATAATAATATTTTATCACCACAAACAAAAATCGACTACCCCAATCACATAATAATATTTTATCACCTAAACCCTAACACTAACACTAACACCCTAATCACTTTACCAAAAAATCTCTATTAGAATATCCAAAAGTCCAAGAAAATTTCGAAAACATGAACTAATATCAATTCAAACCTAAGCTAGACCCTAAACCCTTAACATTAAACCGTAACACAGACCCTAAATCATAAAACTATTATTATTTAATAGGCCTTCGGCCCATGGGCCCTCGGCGGGCAGCCCTAACTAAGGTTGCAAGCCTTACGTGTTAGGACTTCCTAGTGTGTTTAATTTCCTAGTGTGTTTAATTTTATGTAAGAAACAATATTCCAATCCTTCACAAATTGAAAACCAAACCATAAACCCTAAAACTTAAACTCTAAATTGGTGTAATAAGTTTCGGGTGGTTGGGTTATTTTGGGGTTTGGTAAATATTAATTTAATGATGGATATTGGTTTGCGAAGGAAGAATACTAGTTCATTTCAACAATGATGCAAAATAATATCAACACAACACATAATAATATCGACTGAAAACAAATAAATATCCACACAAACAAACAAACATACATATATATCACATGGGGCCCAAAAATTTCGTTCTCTTTCCACTCCAACCCAAAATCCCGCCCAAACTGAAGTCGGGCCCACCACGCCACTTGCTCGGCTCACCTTCTGCGCTGCACGCTGGGCCGGCTTCTACACGGAAGCCCATCTCCAGCTCATTTAAGTGAGCCACCACCCAGCCGCCACTCTCCTCCGTTGGATGAAACCCAAACAAACGTGGCCCAAAATCTGACCCTATCAGTATCTTCTAACAAAATGGCATGTTAGGAGATTAACTTTCGGGTGCCTCTGCTCTTTTTCGTTTCTTTTCTTCCCTTTCCTTTTGTTTCCTTTTTTTTCGTCAAAGTTTCTGACGATCTTTTTAAATTGTAATTGATTTCTCCATTAATAAAAATAAAAAGATAGATGTTGCCAGAAAAAAGTGCCCATTAAAGTAACTGCTCTTTTATAGGACCTGGTAGAAAATTTATTGCTTAATCGTCGGCTAGGTTACAATCCGCTTCCAACAGAGAAAGTAAAAGACAAGGGAGGCCTCTCCTCCCAAAATTCATGGTTGTGGTGGCTGCACAAGAAGTCCCACACGAGAGAGGAGGCGAAGGGTCTGTCAACTACTCCCAGCCGATGCGGTCTTCCCCGACGAGAAGCTTTCTCTGCTAGCGACCGCCATCGATTCTCTCTGCCATCCGCCGTCACGGATTCGGTCGGTGAGGGAATGATGAGATACCCTCAGCCGCGAAACTAACTACCGCTTCTCCCTGCGTTTTGCTCGCTTGTTCCGCATTGGCAAAGAGCAGTAGCAACCCAACGTCCATTCTAGATCTAAAGTTTTGAAAATATCAGGAGCATTTTTCCTTGGTAGAGGAAGTTGCGAGAAAGAGGTTGGGGAGAGAGGAGAACAGCTTGAGTGATTTTTATGATTAGGGTTAGGAGAATTCATTACGTGATTGACAAAAATAACCTTCATCTAATTATCACCCATGAATTATTATTTTAATTTAATGGCTAGAAAGATTGTTAGTACAGTGATAACCCTTTAAAGAGTTAGCAACTAATCTCATCCCTAATCTAGTCTAGTCTAGACTACTTATAATACATTTTAAAGAGTTTGATTTGCTCCATTTCAAATTTCCTGCAACGAGAGTAAAAGTAGGAAGGGTATTTTTGTCTACACAATCAATTTTTTATTTCATATAAAAAGATATCAATGGTAGGAATTGAACCATGGTCTCTTCAACCAAAGACAAGAATTGTAACCAATTAGACTAGACACAGTTGTTGTACATTATCAATACAAAAACATAGAGTAAGTTAAAATTATGAAAAACAAAGTACTTTTCTATCACGGTTAGTTAGCCCGCTAAGTCTCCTGTAAGTATTTTGTGGTGTTTGATACTTCTATTTTCATATTTTAATAATTTATTTATAATTTTTTCTAACTTATAAATGAAGGATAATCTTAAAATCTCAACACAAATATCATTGGTTTGAATATTGCGCATTGAATTGAAATGTTGAATGAAGTGTTCAATGACAACATAAGAACACTGGTACCATACATTTCAAGAAAAATAAACATGACAAACACCGATACCAATTATCTAGACAGTCTATGCTAAAATTCAAAATTGTTTAATCATTCAATTTGAATGATAGTTTAGTCAAATCAAGCAAATAATTCACGATTGTGTATGAACAAAAATAAAAACATATGTATTGTATTATGAAAATTTTATTTATTTTAACAATCTAAAAAAAACAATCAAAACTTCCATACAACCCCTTTATTTCAATAATGTAGTTAATGAAATAATTTTTATCAGCATGATGCAATGTTCAAGCTAAGGTCCAAGTATTAATCACTAGTATATAGTATTCATCATAGTTAACTATTTCAACATCCACAGCTAACTATTAATGATTACTTGCTTTCTCTTAGAGAGTTTAATGTAGCACTCTCATGCCTAGCTATGCTCTAAGCATTTGTTTTCTTTTTCACAATATCATTTGCAGTTATTTATTAAATCAACTTTGTTTCTAGCTTTCAATTCCTAATTATTCACTTCTTATCAGCTTATGGGAATGCTAAATATATTTTCCATGTCTAATCTATTAAACATAAATGTTGCTTATCACTTAAATTCAATGGTATCCATGCTAGGTTTGATGTCACCAACATATTCTCTCAATTTCTCCAAAAAGCATAATATCTTGCGATTGATATCATAGTTTCGTTAAGTAAATTTCAACAAACTCGATCAATATTCGAACTCTTCGAAATGGCTATCTACATGTGAATATGAAGTACTGAGCAGTTAAAACTCTACTTGAGCTAGTACAATCTTTTGCGCTATCGATTCAAAATTCAATACATGATTATCTTATTACAATTTAGTCATACTAATTGTGCAGTAGGGGACATCTTATCAAAATCTTAAAGAAAGACTCTTTGATTGATCGCTTTCATGATGTAATCAATTATACCAAAATAGAAGTGATCAAATTTATAAGATGCAATCAAAGTTTGCTATAATTATTGAGGTTCAGCAGCACATTAGGCGTACGACGGTCATTGGGCATTTCTCTATCTCCTAGCTCGCCTAGACATGCTTAGACATTATAATAAAAATAGCAATTTTAATAATAATGAATAAAATAACGGTTCTAAAACACTTTCATACTACGAAATAACTCTCAATTTTATAAATTATTTTCTTTTACCAAATGATATAATTAATTCATTCACGAGCTTAAATAGCTAATTATAAGCACTTCAAATTTAAGTTAAAACTCTATATGATGCAATTGCTTGACGAAATGAGATTTTATAATAGAGTGGTTCTATCGAGAGAGGTCTCTAAGAAACATGGCTTACTTTATTATTTCTTAGGTGGATATAATATCTATTTTCATCGTTACTTTTATATTGGATTCAATTTAGTATACTTTTCATTTAGATAATTTTTTTATGATGTTCTAGGATATAATATATCATTGTATATGATGGTGTAGGATATTAAATCCTCTCATTTTATGTTCAAATTGATGCATTTTCCCCTTTGTCGTTCCCTTTTATTGGTTAATAATTTTTATGATATTTTTCACTTTAAAATATCGTGAGCGGAAACATTACACAACAATTTGTGTTTTTTCGCTTCCTCTTCTCTTGGTTAGATATTGTGTCCATATTGATTCCTATATTGATTATCGAATTACTACTTTTTTATTCTTTTTCTTATGCAAGATATGATTTTATGTTTGATAATATAGATTTATTTTTCAAGCATGTGGATGCTTGAGACTTTTCATTTGCCTCATAACTTACATTTGACAATGGCTCCAAACTTGGATGGGTTTCTATTCCGCACATAAATTTTTAATGATGTAAAATTTATGAAACTAAGATGCATATTAATAAACAATGTAAGGTCTCATCTTCCCTCTTAAGCACTACATATCATTGTTTACTTACCATTAAATCAAAGTCTTTCTAACTTGAGTAAGAGCTACAATTACTTTTATTAACTTTCACTACTCATATATCACAAATGTTCAAATCATTATCAAGTGTTCATACAATGACTTTTATAGTTGTGGATTTCCCCCAAAATGTTAGGTATGTTGATTTTTGTTTTTGCCTTCTTTTCACTTTGATTTAGATGTTTATGTGTTGCTCTATTAGTTGAAATTGCCAACTGAAGATCTGCATGTTTTGTTTCATTATATCATTGAATGCACTAAAGTCAATGGAACCATGACTGTGTCAGTTAGTTTGTTTCTTTTTAATGACACTCTAAACATATACTTTGTTTCATTATATCATTGAATACATGAAAGTCAATGGAAAAGGCAAAAAAACATTATTGTATACTGAAGATTGATTATGTATGTGTGATCTAAAACAACTCTTATCATTGTTCTTCTTTGACATTTTTATATGGATATGACTTTGTTTGAAAATAAGTATTTATGTTAGTGTAGTTGGACATTGTTTATCATTTTTTAAACTTCATTAGTCAAATACATTAAATACTTTACTATATTATTCATGGAGAACTTACCAAATTAAATATTTACTTCAATCCCCAACAACATGAACCATAAATAAATAAATATATATATATATACCTCGATATTTACTACACATACACATGAAAATCAAACTCTCTGGCCGGCCAGAGGGCGAACCCTAATCTAGTTGTATAATAGTCAATTGAGCCAATCACTTTCTTAAGCAGCATCGTTATCGTCGTAGTAGTATGCTAACCCCATCCACGAATAACATAATTAAACGATTAAATCGAAAAGCGATCCCTGAAAGGTTGAACATTTGCTGGCTAGGGCGCTAGGCATCATTTAGGACTTCTGTTCTGTGCACGTGGTTAATTTCTTTCTTTTCTCTTTAAGTACTAGCTTTATACCCGCCCGTTGGGTGGCAAATTTTGATTGGTGATTATATTTTTCGTCCTAGTATTATAATTTTATTTATGATTCATTATGTTAAACTATTATACATTGAATTGTTAATCTCACTTGTCAAATTTCATATATTGTTTCACATTTTTATATCTTTCATTTATTTATGAAAATTTAATTTTATTAAATGAGCTCTCTATAATACTTTCTTTATTGATTTATAATTATGTATCGAATCCACCCTTTAAGATATAAACTAAGAGATTATTAATTTTTTAGCACACAAAATGACAAAGAAGTTAAAATTTTGAAGGACACAAAAGAAGAAGTTAAAATTTGCAAATATATTTCAATTAATAAAAAAAAAAGTGAAGAGCTTTCATTTTTTCACCCTTCTCGTACGTTGGTATATGATAATAGAGAATATCGCGATCTAGATCACACAAATATCGAGTAGTATCAGTTACTCGTGTAATTTTGGAAGAATGAGAAACCACATTGGCATCCACATCATCAATCTTCCGCTTATTCGTTTAATTTACCTTGAAAATATTCTAGCAAAATCAACCACAAATAAAACTATTGTTTGTCACTAATTTATTAAAACCATGTTTTCAGTAAACCAAACTGCATATAATCATAATTTATATTTTGTAGAGAGCTACATACCCCCGCCAAAAGGATCATGTTTTTCTACCTAATAATAACATAAATGAATAGTAAAAGTTGTATACTTCAATATAACTCAAGTCATTATATCTTGCAGAGTCCCCATTGTGAATCGGATTGATGCATCAATCCAAATAGTAGTTATTATGAAACAATCAGGCAAAAATCAAGCTTTAGTTAGGGATTCTATTAGGCAAAATTCTCGCTAAGGAAACAAACCAATGTCATTACAAACTTCTAGAAATGGGGGGAAACATTGACATTTACTACCATTTTATTTCTTCTTCGCGTCCTTTATAAAACCCCAAATATGTTCCCTCCTACTTATAACCCCCTGCTACATACTATTTACTTGATCAGATCATTGTCATATAGCTAGCAAGTAGCATGTCACTCGTGAACATAATAAACATAATGAACAACCCTCACAACTCTGCTTTCCATTTTAACATCCAAGGAATCGAGTTGCAATAGGCCTCCAAGGAAAACGATCAAATTATTCAACCAAAGGAGAGATGCTCCAAGTCCAAGCAACGAAACCCTTTGAATTATATGTTACATGTTTACATCAAAGTATACAGGATAACATAGAACCATAAAACAACTACCTGAATAACGAAGAAGAAATACAACCATTGAATCAAAAGGGAAATTTACTATCCAGACGCCGTAATCTGGAAGATATTAAGAAAAGAATGGGAAGAAGACTATAACTCGGCCAGTCAACCGCTAGCAGTCAAATATCTCCGAGGAAGAAATATCAATTGCCCACTACGGATCAGATCAAAAGGGAAGAGGGAGAAATGATAGGTTGGACTTTTCTTCGTCAATAGGCAAAAATATGTTAGAGTTGTTCAATTCTTTCCCAACAAATCATTGCATCATGTAACTCCCGCCTCCTATTCTCCTACAAAGAGAAAAAAAATCAATATGCCTTACCATTTCCTTTCCTATATCTATATACAAAAAAGTAGAGAAGACAAATTCTAGAAACTCAAAATTTAAGCAAATAAGAAGAGAGCTTTA